GTAATGAGTTGATCATATCTTAATAGTAAATCATGTTATAGGATTTACATTTTAAGCGGGTATTACAGCTAAGAAAATAAAAAGTAACCAGGCCTCTACATCGAACAATACAACTCGTTGCCATAGTAACTCGTTGCCATAGTAACTCGTTGCCATAGTAACTCGTTGCCATAGTAACTCGTTGCCATTGTAACTTACCAAGGTTTTTCTTTGTAGTCTTCAGTCTGTGACATAAAGGTTGGCTGAACATCGTTTACTCTCTGCAGCGAGGAAAAAAAATACTGAGCTTGGAGCGAAAATTGTTCGTACATGAATAAAGCAATGTGGRAAAGCGTACTGCGCAAGCGTAGGTTCATGGCCGGGTTGCCAATCTCGTACACAGTCTTTCTTGCTGCGCATATTTTATTTCGTCGCGCATGCGCAGTGGTAAGAAATAAAGGGCCTGTGTACGAGATTGCCTGGTTGCATTTTTGAAGTCCTCATTCCTTTTTGGTTTCCGGTACTGCTGTATTGGCAGTTTTCCAATGTTATATCGGCCAATCAGAAAACAGAGTCGCTTGGATACGATTTTAGACGTAGACCACTGAAAATTRATTGCGGGCTCGGGAAATAGAATTAAGCCTCATTAAAGGGTATTTTTTAGATGTATTTTACTTACCGTTACTTTGTAAAGGCTCTTCGTTTGTCGTGGAAGAACCTGCTCAATCGACTTTTCATTCCCCATCACAATACTGCTTCCTATACTAAACCGCCTTTGGATCCTCGGATCTCCCCAAGTAACCTGAGCCTGCCGTTCAGGTGATCTGCAGTTAACCCCTAAAGAGACATGCGCGGGCTTCTGAGGAGATGGAATYTTTCCGACCTTATCAACACCATGCCACGATAACCTCGCTCGCTGATTGGTCGAGGTTTTTGGATTTAGTTCCCGAGCTTCCATAACTCTTTCTATTCGTAGTTTTTTCAGTTCTTCTTTTTCTGACGCCATTTGATTCATATTTCTATTCGGGTTTCTTYTTTCGTACGTGTGTTCGACGTCACTATCCGAACTGAACGGGCTTTCTGAGCTAACACTTCGTTGATTTTCCGTCCCGTCCGCGGTAATACCATTCCCTCTTATAAAATTCTTCATTACACTCGAACCTGCGACTCCTGTATATTTATATCTATTTTCATTCCTTCCAGGTGTTTTTGAATGGTGTTCTGTAGAGGTAGGCACYACGACCGTCTCGGCTGAGCTGGCCGTTGATCGATCAGATCTGTAAGGAGACTGGGACCTAGATGATCTTGTCGAGTTTGTGGAATATTCTGGACAATTGGAAGGGGAAAAAAAGACAAAGGTAAAGAATTCGAAGAGGATTATAGTTGTAGTGATATGAAGACCGAGTAAGGGGAACGAAGGATTCGAAAATATACTGGCAGACGATAGACCCAATCGGTCAGCTCAGCAGAGACGTGTCACTCTCTTGAGAATAAAATAGGGTCTAAAGTCTGGGGAAAATACGCCCAAGGTAAACGTGTCTATTCCAATACCTTTAGATGTCAGTGAGTTAGCATCATTTCCAMGTGGTGTCATGTGATTGGTTGTCATGGAGACTGTTGTCCTTGGTGATTGATGGTCGCCATTATTTCCCTTCTTGGACGTCCAACTGTGRCGTTGCGAGGAAGTATCACGACTAAAGAAAAATTTGTAATATCTATGATATAAAATCC